ATAGACCAGACTAGGCCAGCAAATAAAACCATTCTAGCTCATGCAAATTTTGACGTATTGACCATGTAAACTTGAGACGTCATTAGCCAGACTACAATAAACTAAGAACTTGGCATTATTAACGTGGATGCTCTAATAGACTAATATCTCAACTTGGGATCCATCGTTAAGAGTGGCTATTCTTCTCGGATTTCAAAAAATCAGAGTTCAGAAAATCTTAGGCGTCTAATTGTACACATTTGATACTTGCATTAGCCTTTTTCCTTTCAGTTACGAAAGGCATTCTAAACAGTGGCCACATAAATAGTATTTCTACATATTCACATGAGAACACAATCAGACAATCCTACCAAATGCACGCAATAAAGAAAGAAAGAAAATAAATATATATTGATCCATTCAAACACCTTCATGTTCAGCACATGGAATTTTGACCCCTAAAGTATAGAATCAATACGAAAGCTGAAAATGTCTCAAGGGTGTATGTATATGAATAGTAATACATTCCAGACAGTCATGATTTCACTTCACCTCCGGAGCTATAATAACATCATAAACAATTGGAGGATGGCATATATCTATCATCATTTATAGTTTTGTACCCCAGGACACTTTCTGCTGTCTGTACCTCTATGCATTGGCTCATAAGACGAAATTTAGCTACTTCCTGACTTGAGGGTGTTACTCAACCTACATAATTGATTGATAACATACAACAAAAATATTAGGGAGGCAATACATGTTACTCCATCCCGCAGAATACTTCCCAGTTTGACTTGGATCAGAGTTTAAGAAAGTGGAAATGTATGTTTGTGATTGAGTAAGAAAAAGGTAAATGAATGGTTGCCACACAATCCTTTCCATGCCAAAAAGAGAAATGGGAAGAATTTTTTGGGGACGTCTCAAAAAGGTAAGTGGAAAGAATTTTCAGGGACAGAGGGAGTATATGAATATTATTGGCACAGCGAAATAATATGAATGTCAAAGGATATGTAAACCCATCTCAGTATAGAAAGATTAGGCCATAAATATATGGTCAAAGTAGGAAAGCATAAATATATGGTCAAAGTAGGAAAGCATGTCTAGGGATGTATGTCGCCATTGCTGTGGTAATGTTTGAGCCATCTTATTTTATAATACCAGGGATGAGCAAGGTAATCATAACCCTTCATTCACATATAACAAAAAGAACCAATGAGACCAAGGAGCCTTTCAATTAGACTTATTTCAATCTAAGACCAGATCTTCCTAAACAGACAACAAGATTAGATGAGTTTTAAAAAATAAAATAATATTAGACAGAAATCATCGGACCAGAAAAGGTTAGACCAGGTTTAAACAGACAAGTTCAAATCAAACTAACTCAGACCAGAAAATTTTGGTCCGAATGAACAGGTCCTAACACTCAGCTCCACACCGATCTTATTTGTTAATACCTAGTATGCATTATTAAGTAAGTAAAATACATAAATGGTCCTTAAACTATCATCATCATATCATTTTGGTCCTTGAACTAATAAATCTATCATTTTAATCCTTATGCTATTTAATCCATATTAATCCATAGTAGTTCAAGGACCAAAAGGTCCAAAACAATATGATGATGATAGTTCAAGGACCATTCATGACATAATCCAACTAGTATAGCATGGAGTGACAATGTTAGTGGAAGCTTCCGCAAGCATGTATTTTGAGTTTGAGGATGCAATCAAGAACCAAAAATCATATAAGGTCACAGTAGTTACGAATTCAAGCTTTACCAGTCCAATCCCTCAAAAAGGCCTTCTCCTTTGATGGCAGAAGTCTTAAAAATTGCCCATTGTCGACTTTTAATCTTGTGCAACTCCAAGGACTCGGTCACTGCAGCATCATCTAGTGCACCAGGAAGATCCTGTTGAAAATAGACCACCAATAAAAACACATGAGTGGCATGCAATGCATTAATGTGCTTCACTAAGCATGACCACAAGGTAGGCGTTTGCCAGAGGACCTACAACTAATCATTAGAAAAATTGCACAAAAAACATAGAACCTGCTTGTTAGCATATATGAGAACAATAGCACCTTTTAACTCATCCTCCTGAAAAAAAAAAGATAATTAATTGCTTTTAACTGAATGAGAACACAGTAAATCATAGTCCCAAGAAAAGGTTTGTCATCACCTCACACCCAAAAAGAAGAAATTAAACAGATAAAAACAATTTATTTCTACAACTCTAAATGTCAAAAACTAGATAGAATGTATCAGCTCAGGCAATCTACTACTTGAAAAATACCCTCTTTTAGATGACATTGCAGCATTAAATAATACAACTTCAAAACATTTATTGCTTTTCGAATTTGGGATAATCAATATTACCTTCCACCACTCTCCATTTATATCTTGTAGTTCATTATAAATGTTAAAAATTAATACAGGCTTCCATAATTTAAACACTTTGATAGAATGACAGATGCATATATGGCTATATGCATTGGAATCAATTTCTACTAGCCTTATGGAAGACACTTATCTTGCGAGATCTTAGACATGTTTGCTTATTGCAAGGTTGACCCATTATATTTCAGGAAACAACCACATTCTTCTGTAATTCAGAAAAATTACACAATCCTTCTGTATACACCACGTCATAAACAAAACACATAACTTTTGCATTCCAGTGTGTCATGTGACAACCACCTGTTCTGTGAAAGGTATCCTTGAATTGCTCAAACACTTAATGACTTTAACTGTTAGATTTTACATTTATTGGGATGCTGATTGTTGAAACATAGGTACTATGAAAGGACATAACCACCATCTCATTTTTCCGATATTTAATCTTGGCCAGGTCATTCAAAACTGAAATTTCCACTTAATTTAAAAAGAAACAATTCCATTTTCATAGGTTTAATCTTGAAGCGCCAGCACCTATGGTAGATTATTAAGAGCAACCTTTCCTTTTCTAATAGCAAAAACAAGTATTTGGAAATGTATTCTGTTTATTGAAATGTGTGGGCAAGATTTGATACTTTGAAAGAAACATCTACACCACCAAAGTACCTCAAGTATGGCATGAAACTCCTCTTTAGCAACAACCAGCCTATCAGTGTCACTTGAATCAACAACATATATTATGGCCTGAGTATTTGGAAAATAGCATCTCCAGTATGGTCTGCATAGAAAACAATAGCCACTATTAATATTGTTGGAAAAGAGGAGAAATGAAGTTTGTGTGTACTTAAGAGGAGAATGACTCTAATATATATACAAACATAGGTGCACTCTTAAACTGGCCACTTAGAGACAATCACAAGCCTAAACTATGGAACATCTACTTGAACACAAGGGAGCTCCTTGTTCTTCCGTAATTCTCAAGAATCCCTGTAATGCACAAAAATTATTAGGCATTCACGCAACTGAGAGCAGGACAGTTTTTGGCAGATCTATTTTATGCACTAGATTTGTAATTCTAGTTTATTAGCAAATTTATTCTCCGTCATTTTTGCATTTAAAATTCCATTTCTAGGTAACTACTTTATTCTTTGGTTTACTTGGTGGTTTAAAAACTGATTCTAAAGCTCATCTACAAAAGGGGAGTTTGTTCCCATTATTGGAGAAAGAACTAAGAAAAAACCCAAGAGAAAGGGACTCCACAAACCTCAAATTTGTTATTCCCAGCATCTTTCTATATGTTCTCTACTGCACAAACCCCATACCCCCTTCTTTAACGCACAAACAGTTTCAAGCTGGAAACATAACACTCTCTCCAGCTGAAACACGTGTGTATATATCCAATACTAGAACCTCCTATACATGTTGTAAATAATTTAGTTAATTGATCATCCGAGCCCATAAAAGATCCACACCAGAAGAAAACTCTCCTAGACAAAATAACATTCAATCGCAATGTGTTTTGTTCTTTCATGGAAGATGGGATTTGACAAAATATACAGAGTTGCTTGGGTATCATAAATCAGCATCATGTCCCCCCTCATGCAACATGTCAATATTGCAATCAGCACATAAGCCATGAAAAATATTCAGCTAATGCGCTTGACCAGCAACAACCAACTGCTTTTTTCTCCCAATGAGCCAAGACTTCTTAATGTATCGTACAACCACTGTCCACAACAATAGTCTCCCAATGACTTTCACATGGAGGTACGCAAAATTGAGTCACGATACTTACTGCAAACGAGACAGAAGATCAATTTATAGTCAAATGCGTCAAACAACATCAAAAGTTTTGGTTTTAGAAGACAGAATGTCTAATGTTTTTTCGCCTGGAAAACTTATTGGATTGATGCGGATAGAAGGGATAGGGTGTGCTTAACTAATAATCCTACAAACCATCTCCATCTCCTAGGATCCGAGAAAGGCACCACTCATCAAGTAGAACTTTGACATTGGTGTTCATGGGAGTGACAAGTGATTGCAATTGATCATACTTGTTCCTTTGAGCATATCTAATTCATAATTCCTTTGTGACATGCAAATTCCTTGCTAAGAATGTGCAATTTCAATCTCCAAATAATAGTGAAATCTATTGTTTCAAAGTTTTGAAATAAAAGTAGGGAATCATCCACATATAGAACAGTCTATATACTCTTACCCTGTTAGATGTCTGTAAAACATGGAGTACTCAACTTTGTTCACATTGAAGCCAAACTTGTGAAAAAATGTCTTGAACCTTCCAAACTATGCACAGGAAGACTGTTTGAGACCAATAAGAGGGCGTTTAAGTATAAAAGCCAAACAACACTGTATGTGTGCGTATTCATTGTCAACCAACAATAGTTTAATTTGTGGGGGTAGGGAGGGATAAAAAAACAAAGACGACCAAGACTTTATGAAAGTACAATATGGGAAAGAGATAATGGGTTGATCTGTCGCCTACACGGCTGGAAATAGAATATCTTCAATAAGAGAGATGAATTAGCCAGCCTATCGTCAACTAACACCATAGCAGGTGGTTGAGGTTTGCAGTGGTAGGAATGTGGAAATTAAGTAATACATTGGCCAGTGGGGATGTGAGGAAGGCACACAGGGTATATTGTCATGTTGGCAACTTGGCATAGGCTTTGAACCTGGCAAACTCTGGGTCTTCGGTAAAAAGGCCAAAAGGATTACCCATGACATTGGCAATGAAACCAATGACATGAGCCTGGAGAAAACATCACAGGAAGGATAATACACTTTGAATTCGCTTGAGATACCAAGCACTCACTGACACTTCAGGGATCCATATCTGATTGCCATAATGCCATTGGAATAATGTGTTCTTAAATAAGGAATTACAAGTCTAGTAAGCTAAAGGGGCGTTTGATCAGGTTTGGAAAATGGAATGACAGTTTGTACTTTGTAAGTGCTCCACTGCTCCATTATGGGTTTCATTTCCCAAATTTCAACATTGAGCAATACCCTTCCAAATCGCTTGTGCAATTGTACAAATATGAAACTCATTACCTTTTCTATGGAACTCATTCCCATTCTCATTCCTTGGAACATTCTAAGCACATCCTATATAAAAGATCTAACAAATATGGTATGAGTAAAATACTCCGTACTACTCAACAAATTGCAGAATTAAATAGAACTTGAACAAGGACAGTGCTGATCCAATATTTAGAAATCTTTTGCTAGTTCATTTCCAGATCCAGTTTATCAGCTTTTATAAATTCCATCTAAATTATGCTTACATATTTGTGTCATTTTTCTACTTTCATTACGCAAAATAACAATGACAATGCTAATGGGTCACACTCTGGCCATATGAGACAGGACAACATTAGTCGGCCACACACTGCAAACGCTGATTCCACGTCACAGCTTGAGGTATAAACCAAAGCATACCTGTGGGTGGGCTACTATGGTTGGGGGCAATCCAACTGCAACCAGGGAGTTGCAAAGCCTTATCCTGCAGCCCTCAACCTGTAGCTTAATACCACACCCCACATTAACTTTCTTACCCCTCCCCCTATCAACAAAAACGACAACAACAACATCCAAGCCTTATTTCCAAACGATTTTGGGGTCGGCTAACATGAATTGGTCAATTTTGGGGTCACTTTCTAACCCCCCCCCCCCCCCCCCCCCCCAATTAGTGACTGAAATTATGTAGCTTTGAAATCTAATGCAACAATTCACATTTGAAAAAAAAATACTCTGCAGTTATGGTCAACTATGGGTAGAGAGTGACGTGAATTTATACTTAATAACTAATATGAAAGTAGTTAAATGGCTGAGGCGCTGAGCTATTATGGCCAAATGGAGTTACAGCATACTAATGGATTAAAGGAAAACAGAGCAAAATAATGAGTTTGAACAGAATGCAACACATTATTACCTAGCATAGTAGCATAGCAAAAAATATAACTGCTTATAAAATGAAAGTTTAGTGACTCAGTCACTATAGAAAAACTTGAATTTGAAGTTACCTGATACTAGTCTGTCCTCCTGCAATATGAGAAAAGCATAGAAATCAGGAAAATTAAGCTAACCTTGATTTGAAAAATCAGAAGTTTTTTGGTATTACTCAATACTCACACATAGCTAGAGGAAGTAAAACATTGATACAGGCTCAGGAAACCAAATCAGTGTAGCCATCTTCATAATATCCATACTAATATTTTTCCACAACATTACAATTTCTATATGTGTATGAGTTCCCTATTTGTGTTGATATTCTATTCTAGTTAATATTCCTCTTTCCTAGTAGCAAAACCATAATATATCAGGACTCAATTTACTTGCTCACCAATAGCATTCTGAGCCATATAATTAGGAGTTTAATTTCAACAATAATATCACACAACTCCAATCTTAATTACATAAGAGTTTGACAACGAAGAGTCTATGAGTTCTGTACAACAACGAAACACTCTCTGTGGACTCTGTCGAGGGCGAGTCTGCCATATCCCATCCACACGTATAGTATTTGGAATTAGAGCAGTTTTCTACCCATTTTGTTTTCTTCCGACCTTGGCTTTGTCCCATCAGTCATTGTCCAGGAGCTAGTGAGTTAGCAAAGATCTTAGGTTCATTAGTTCTAAAAATTATTAATTGTGAGTTTTCATTTAGTAGGGTAATTGTTATTGCTAAGGTTTGGTATCAATTTAGCTCTTAGTAATGATAATATATCACAAATGTTCCCTGATGGTTTTTGCATCAACTTAACTTTGGTGAAATATCACAAATGTTCAATTCGTAATGGTTTTGGATTAATATATTTAATTTCTAAGAAGTGGTAACTCACATAGGATTGCCCGAGAGACTATGTGTGTACCCAACAATCATGGATTGATCATACTAGTCCAAGAAATATGAAAAACATTACAACAATATAATACAAGATTTTTTGACAAGTCGAGAGATTTTTTAAGAACGTTTCGACAATGACTGAATGTGGACATGAATTTGAAAACATCCTCTGATGGGCTGGAAGGGTCAGTTTGAGTCTGATCATTTTAAAGTAGTTGATATTTAAAGGGATTAATTTACTCTTACTAGCTTCATTTATCCCCAACTCTCATCAAATTCACAAATCTATCATATTCTTTAACTTTTATCAAAAAGACTCGATCTGACTTTTTTTCTCAATTACACTTTCATTGGAAGAGTTACCAATATTTAAAAAGAACAACTTATTTATATTTCTATTTCATATTTTTCCCATTTTTTCACGTTTTAAGTTGAGAAACTAGTACTAATAATTTTTATACAAAATCTTATTTCTACAAAAAAATTTGTCTTCTTGTGGAGAAACTAGTGCTACTTAGAATAATCAAATTATTGTGCAGAAAACACGAAATATAACTAGAAAGATGAAAGAATCATATACAATTATAAGAAAGAGCTCAATGTTTTTTGTAACAAAAAAATTTTACTAAAAATATATTTGAGTGTTTAAATGACTTAAACAACTTCTATGAGAACATTAATGTATCATTTAGTATATAAGATTAGTTTTCCATAATTTGAGTTAAGTTCTTGTTAAAATCATGAAGAAAATTAAATTAAATAATTAATAATATAATGCAATTTCATACAATTATTTATGTATTGATATTGATAGAATTTTATAATTTTAAAAAATCTTAACAGAAAAGTATAATTGTTAAAAGAAGATAAAGTTTAAGCCTTTTTATAAAAGATAAAAAATGGGATAGATTTCTGAATTTGATGATAGTTAATAATCCTATTTTGTAAAGATGCTTCTATGTTGGGTTCAAGAAGAAAACTGTTGTCGCTAAACTAATCTGCTTACTTTTAAAAAGATTAATTCATTACACTTTATATGCCTACATAGATCATGGCTGTAGTAACAAGTAACAACTCGTTGTGTAAGACAAAAGAAGCTTTTTGTTTTGTACTCACAATTCTCATAGGTACTGACGTGTCTTCACGGCAGTCAATTAATCCATCATAAGTAGCTAAATGAGATTATATGTACACTCTAAATTTTAAACAATGTCTTACTATCAAACCCACATTATTTGCATGTATAAATTCAAAAATAACAATCCACATTCTTCACAAATTCAATATGTTTGATGCTACTGTGCTAGTGTTTAATTCCCAAGGTAAAATTTGTATGTATGGAATATGGACTTCCTATTCCTAACACAGTGCAGAAATTAAAGTGCCTCTCAAATCTCTAGTAAGCTCTTCCCCCATCACATTATATTGTGAACCAGATTACGTAACAGATGTTGAGTGTAAGAATTTGGACTCAAGTACTACCTTAAAACAAAAGAACCTCACAAATTTGAAGTGGAGAAGCATTTGGAATTTGTAAGGTTCATATAACTTATATGTATACACACACTGAATCAACTTCGGATTATAGATATATACAATCATTTAAGATTGATAACTAATCCATTTCATTATAGAAATACTTAAAGATAATCACATTAGTAGATCAAACCAAACAAAAGGGCGTGCAATACAATTTAGCACCTCAGTGGCATTGTTTTCTTGAGATACAAAGCCTATATCTTCTTTATAATATGTCTTATTTTTTCAGGCAGAGAAAAAGAACAAAAAATAACCAGTGGACATGCAACAGTGCAACACTGAACAACTAATGAACATAAGTGAGAAGATGCAGCCATACACAAGTGGATAACATTCCAATCTAATACACTAATTGGCAAGCGTACCTAGATCCCAGACTTGAAACTTTATATTCTTGTACTGCACTGTTTCAACATTAAATCCAATTGCTGCATCATATGAAAGGAAAAAACAGGGCCACATTATCACTCACATCTTACTTTGATGACATCCTAAAATTAAATGCAAATGTATTTTTAACTTTTAGAACAAAAAACAGTACAGAGGGATGAAAGTTCCATATTTTTTGCTAGGAGAATAATAACAGTACAGAGGGACGAAACAAACTTGGAATAGTGGAAACGACTTCTCCCATTTGAAGCCGATCTGCATCCAATGACGAAAATACATTCAACGAAAATACAAAACTCACATAAGAGAATCCATAACTGTAATCGAAAATTAAACGAACAGTCAAAGAAAACATACAGAGAATCGTGGTCTTTCCAGCATTGTCCAATCCGAGAACAAGAATCCTAGCTTCCTTATTACCGAATAGAGACGAGAAAAGCCGAGTAAACACAATTCCCATTTTCCAATCCCCGACTTCTAGTTCAATTTTCTTTGTTCTTCGTAGACCAGATCTCGAGCGAAATCAACAATTCCCTCGGATCCTATATGAAGATAAAGTTCAAGCATTTTAGCACGAAACCATCCAAATTTTCGACGAAAAGTGAAATGAGAGATCTGAAATACCGGAGGGAAGGTGAGGATGGTCCTCAACAAGTGTAATCTAACACCAAAATGTATATACGGTCGGGCTAAACGTTATGAAATCAGAGATTTGATTGTAGTCGGTATACTTGTAGCATTTTCCGGCTTGGACCTCTCAGATTCCTGAGTCCTGACGCGAGAAAGGTAAAACAGTGCACGGTAAGTGGTAAAGTGGACTCAAAATTCCTGCAAACATTTTATTTTCATGAAAAAAGTGCAAATAGACCATGTATTAACCAAAAAATGGCAAATAAATCCTTATTTAGGAGGCTTTGTCCGGCCGTCGCCATATGGGGTTGTTCCTGGTGGAATTTTTGATGAATTTTTTGAGCATCTTATTCATTAAGTCTAGTTTACTCATACCAAATTTCAGCTAAAACTTCAATCGGGAAGGCATTCAAATGAATTCTTGAAAATAACTGCGCAGTTAGAAGCGCAGTTATCTTCAAGAATTCATTTGAATACCTTGCCGATTGAAGTTTTAGCTGAAATTTGGTATGAGTAAACTAGACTTGATGAATAAGATGCTCAAAAAATTTCATCAAAAAATTCCATCGGGAATCACCCCAAATGACGACGGCCGGAGAGACTCTCCTAAATAAGGGCTTATTTGACCTTTTTTGGTTAGTACATGGGCCTATTTGCACATTTTCCCTATTTTCATGCGACTCAACTCCACATTAATTACTCTCTAAGTCCCTAGTGAAAGTATGAAATTGAAGAAATTTAACTAGGGGTGGGTGCGGTCCGCAACGGTCCGGAAAATTAGTAAAACATGTAATGTATCTGTGAGGTTTCTAATCGGTACAAAATGGTACGGTACAATGCCAAACGCATGCTAAAAAATTGGACAAATATTAAAATTAGTAAATAACATCACACCAACCAACTCACATTAAGTGTTGATATAAATACAAGAATTTGCATATACATAGTATTAAAATTCACAAATACACAAATAGTGCAATACAACTGATGGAGTATATGGCCCAGGAACCCCCGGCCCATAGACTCCTATTTCTCCCACGCAAGTCCATTGAGCTCAGGAAACGACTCAGGCCCAAAAGCAACGGCCCAAGCCCCAAAATAGCCCGAAATACATACTGGGGTGCCTTCGGCCTCCTTGGCCGAAGGCTCCAGAAACTCACGAAGTAGCCCTCTCTGACATACGAAGCCACTGGGAGAAAACGGCGAAAAACATGAGCCTTCGGCATTACCAAGCCATCGGCATCAGGGGAGCCTTCGGCTACACTTAGCCCTCTGCCACTCGAGCCTTCGGCTACACAGGGGTCCTTGGTTACACGGAGCCCTCGGCTACACAAGAAGCCTTCGGCCAAACATGCTCAATCATCGAAGATTCCTTTTGGGGACAGCCAACCACCGCATTTAATGCCACGTCACATCCGCCAACCGCATTCAATGCGGTGAACGTACCACTGCCGGTGCCACCAGGCTGATGTGACCCTTCGGCCGTTGGATTACTGACACGTGTACTCTCATCGCATTTAATGCTGCTATAAATAGCAGCCCATTTCTCCTTGTAATAGACATCATCTACATCCCAACTCCACATCTGAGTTCATTTAATAAAATCGACTCTCTCTCCTCCTATTTTGCTCTGACTTCTCTCTAGTTATTCCCGCAATAACCCCTCGGATAAGATACCCCCCGGGTAGACTATCCATCATTTGGTGCTCTCGTTGAGAGGTCTGAACTATCAAGTAAGAAACCCTCCCCCTCTACCAAATACAGAACACCTACCAAAAATGGGAAGAACCACTCGTGCCCAATCCAAAACTCTGGAGGAGAACCACGTCGCCCCCGGCGAAACCAACGGGGCTGAGGCCTCCAACAGGCTCTTGGTACCCGAGGGTGGTATCATCCTGGAATTGGAGCAGGCTACCGCTGACCTCCGTCAGCAGCTACAGAAGAACGCCCCTGATGCCCGCATTGGCCTTGATAATCGAAGGAGGGATCGGAGTGAGAACCAAGTTCCCCCTCCGACCCCGGCCATCGATCTTCAGGCTGCCTTTGCGGCCTTTGTTCAAAACATGGCTCTCAATTCCGGAGCCCTCGCCTCTCAGGCACCCCTCCAGCCCTACGCTGGAGGGAATGTTATTCAATTACCACCGCTCCCTCCTCTGTTCAACAATCCTCCCCCGGGAATTGGAAACGCCGAGGGGGTCATGGCGCAGGATACCGCCTCCCAAGAGGCCCAATCCAGGGACAAGCGCCCCATGATGAAAGAGAAACCCCGAACCTCTGTACTTGAGAGGCTTGGGGGAGCTCCCGGGCACCGAGGGGTCCAAGACCGCCTCGGGAAACAGGCATTCAGCAGGCCCCAGGAGAGTGGAGCCTCCGCTTCGGGCGCCGAGGGCGTGCCTCCCCCGCGAAGCAAAGGCAAAGCCCTCCTCCACGCCGATGACGCCAGGCACCAGATCAATCAGGCGCAATCCTTCCGGGCCGACTCCCAAGGGGTTGCCCCGAAGGATCCCAAGGACGAAATCATTGAAGCCCTCCTCCGTCAACTCGAGGAGAATCGTCAGGCACCCCCGACGGCTTCCACAGCGAGGCCAGATCCGGAGTACGCTGACCTCCGGGCACAGGTGGAGGAAATGAAACGTAAACTTGCCGAAGGCTCAGGCGAGCCCCTCATTCAGCTCCGCACTAGGACGCCTTTCACCCCAAGGGTGTTGGCGGCCAAAATCCCCCACAAATATCGGGGGCAACCTATCAAACCATATGAGGGAAAGACGGATCCCCAGGAGCACTATAGCCGTTATCAAAACAGCATGATGATGATGGGGGCATCGGATGAATACTTATGCCGTTGGTTCCTTTCCACCTTGGAGGGACCAGCGTATGAGTGGTTCAACCGGTTGCCCGAAGGCAGCATTGATTCTTGGCAAGAACTTGCCCACCGTTTCCTTACGCAGTTTGCCGGGAGGCACCGCTCAAAGAAACACTTCTCCCACCTTCTGAATGTGAGACAACAGAAGGAGGAAACCCTTCGGAGTTTCCTGGAACGCTGGAGGCAGGCCTCCCTCGAGGTCGAAGGCGCCGATGACAGGACCCTGATGGCCCTCTTCCACACCGTCCTCCGCAATGGTAACTTCTCCCGGAGCCTTATCACTGATCCCCCCCGCGATTATACAAAGGCCCTTCAGCGGGGGGACCGATACGCTGAAGCGGAGGAAATCGAGAAGGACCGCCGCAACACGGATCCTTCTCAGAAGAATGAAGGCAGGAACCGGCCCGGAGGGCCTCCCCCTCCGGTCCACCGAGAGGCACAGTACAACGATCGCTCCCGGGGTGGCCAAGCCAGACCCGGGGGCGGTTACAAGAACAATCCGAAGGCTTGGGCACAACCCGTCCTCCTGGAGCACCCACGCACTCCCCTGACGCACCCCGTCAGCGTCATTCTTGATCATGCGGAAGAGCGGGGGCTCGTTGAGCGAGACTCCCGCACACCCCTCGAGATTTATGCCATCGGTCCTGATGAGCCCTACTGCCGCTTTCACCGCCACCACGGGCACAAGACCGACGACTGCCACCAACTGAAAAACGCAATTGAGAGGCTGATACAGGCGGGCCACTTGTCTCAGTTTATCAGGGGCCCTCCTCCCCAGGGCCTCCTTCACCATCAAGGGCCTCCGCCGAAGGCAAACAAATGGGTGAACCCCAATACCATCCCTTTGGGAAACCCACAGGGGAAGAAGCGTGAAATTGGGGGCCTCGAGGACGAGGGAGAAGGCTCCCATCAGCAATACAAGCGCCACATTCACATGATTAACGGCGGCAACACCGGTGGAGACTCCACCAGCCAACGGAAGAAGTGGGCACAGTCCCTTTACATTGGGGAAGTCAATCACATGCCCCCAACTAAACGGCCGAAGGCGGATCCAATTTTCTTCACAGATGCGGACCTACCCTCGGGTTCTCTGCCGCATAGAGATGCCCTCGTCATCCGCACTGAGATCAATGACGCCATCATCCACCGGACTTACGTTGACACGGGGAGTTCTGTCAACGTCATGTACCTCAGCACTTTTCAAGAGTTGGGACTCGACAGGGGGTCCCTTCGGCACATAAACACCCCCTCTCCGGATTCACGGGGGATAGCATCGACGCCGAGGGCGTCATCACACTCATGGTCGAATTCGGCGACGGATCCCATAGAGCCAAGCTCGAAGTGGAGTTCGTCGTCGTCAACCTCGACTGCGCACATAACATCATCCTCGGCCGGCCTGCCCTCGAAGATTTGGAGGCCGTCATCTCCATGAGGCACCTCTGTCTCAAATTCCCCACACCCACCGGCATCGGCTACTCAAGGGGGAATCAGAAACTCTCCAGGGCCTGCTACCTTCAGCTTACCAAGAAGGTTAGTAAAACTGAATTTCGGGTTGACACCATCACCACCAAGGCCTTAGAGGAAGAAGAAGGCAGGCCGAGGGCTGAGCCTGCCGAGGAGACCGAAGACTTGATACTCGATCCGGCCAAGCCGGAGAGAGTCCTGAAGATTGGAGCCAAGCTCCCCGAAGACTTGAAGGCTGGCATCACCGAAGCCCTCCGCGCCTACTCCATTGTTTTTGCATGGGGGCCGGAGGATATGCCCGGAATTGACCGAAGGGTTATCACCCACCGCCTAGCGGTGGACCCTTCGGCCAAACCAGTACAGCAGCGGAGGAGACCCCTCTCAGCCGAGAGAAGGGAGTTCGTGAAGAAGGAGGTATCTATGCTCCTCTCCATCAAACACATTAAGGAGGTGAAATACCCTTCTTGGTTGGCAAACGTAGTCCTCGCACAGAAGCCTCCTACCTTCCGCATGTGCGTGGACTACACGGATCTGAATAAGGCGTGCCCCATGGACCCCTTCCCACTGCCAAACATAGATCAGCTGGTTGATGAGACCGCGGGATGTGAAATCATGTCATTCCTCGACGCTTTCCGCGGATATCACCAAATATATATGCATGAGGAGGACGCTGAAAAGACTGCCTTCATGACACCCGAAGGCATCTTCTGCTACCTTGTGATGGCCTTCGGCCTCAAAAATTCAGGCGCCACCTACACACGAATGGTGGCCAGGGTCTTTCAAGCTGTCCTAGGACGCACCATGGAGGCTTACGTTGACGATATGATCGTCAAAAGTAAGAAGGCAAGCACTCACGCCGACGACCTCCGGG